AATATTGTATAACTGATTCTCTAGAACTTTTACATCTTTCCTAATTAGTTAATTGTACTGTCGTTTTCAGACACCTCATATGGTGGAAATTGTTAAGTAGTTGTCCTTCTGTAACTGAGTTATTTCAGTGAACATGATATCCCCCAAATTGATCAAGGCTCTTACATATGACAAGATTTCTTATTTTTTTTAAACCTGAATAATATTCCCTTGTGTGTGCATGTGTGTGTGTATCCCTGTGTGTTTCGCCAACGATTTTGCAAATATGTATATCCAATATTGCAATACATTTTTTGAAGAGTTTTTTTCCCCTCAGATTCTTATAATCCTTGTGGAAGATTATTTGGCTGAATACATGTTGGCACCCAATATTTTCAAATGTAGTTTTGCCTTTGTACTAGTTACAAAAAAGCTATTCTTACATTATGGCTTTGTATTCTTTAGGTGTATTTTTAAAGGTATGATGTGTAGAGTTATTAAAGTAAATAAACATAACATTGGTTCCATAAACTGGCATTTTCCATAAGAATTTTAATGAAAACATAAGACTGTATTTTTTCAGATGCAGTAATGAATATAGACATCTGAAAATCACTTAGCTATATTTGGAAGGCCAACACAAATTGTTTTCTACAAAGAAAACCAATAGTTTAATTAGAAAACAAACTCTCTAAAACAGGCCAAATTAGCAAAGGCAAACATAATGAAAGTTATTGTGTGGGCAGATATACATTTCAACATATAGGAACATAACTGAGCCTTCAGAACAAAAGGAAAAAAACCAAAATCAACATGGAATAAAATATCAATCTCTGGACTACTTTTAATATGTGACTGTTCCCTTGTTTATTTCTATGTTCTGTACCTTTGAGAAACTAAGATATAGTAATTATTAAGATTCAGGAAAGCTGATCATACAGATGCTCCAAGGCTTTAGAAGAATCATACACAACCAAGATGTCACACAGGCTGCTTTACATCTAATTGCTCAAATTGTGTCCTCTCAGGCAACACCTTAAAGATAGTCTTGAGTTTCCAAGTCCCCAAGGTCTTGTTGACATTATTTTTAACATAGTTTGGCACCAGGAGATATGTTTTAGGTGTAATCTTGTGTCTGTCATTTCTGGGTTTTCTTAATAGGTTGGAAAAAATGTAACATACAAAACACTCAATGAACTATAGCATGGACCAGAGTAGTAGTCATGTTCATTTCTATTAATTAAATGTTAAGCCAGTTTATTTGTGGAGTTCATTAAACTTACCAAAGAATTCTTCAGTAAATGAATCATTCAAGTGCTTCTGTATTTAGGTGAGTTTATGTAGCATTTCATTTATTTAATTTTAGAAGAAAAATCTTGAGTTCTAGTAATGTTCAGAAGAGACTAGAATATGTGTAAAACTTAGTACCAAAAAATCCATTTATTTTGACTACCAGAGAGTTTTGACTCTCTTCATGATATCCCTGTTCTTTCATTGAGATTTCCTTGTTTTCTCAGAAATTAAACAAACACTTTAGCAATGTAGAATAATTAACAAAAATCTTCCCATAATATTTTAAGGTATAAGTGATAATAACAAACATATTTTTCAATAGTATAATATATTTCATGGTAATTATGAGTTATAAACTTTACAATTTGTGAATATGTAGAGAAGACTAAACAATGAGCAATGTTTATAATAGCACATGGTAAAATAATTCATAAAAGATGAGAATATGATGTGAAAATAACAAACTTAATTTGACAGCTTAATAAATATAACATGACTGAGGAACAATGCAATAGGGTTGGTGAAAATTGGGTATCTAAATCTGGGAAGTTTTGGGAAAGCTAGGCTACACAGTGTAGACTTTATACACTCATTAATTAATAGCATTTGGAATCTCTAATGCCCCTAATTTCATAATAAGTTAATCATGGGAAATTATCTTATAATGCTGTGGGAAATATTTTAAATTGATGGGAGTGTGACTGAAAAATATGGGCACAGTTTTGGATTGCAGTGATCAGACTTTGTAAAAAAATTTGCAGAGGAAATATTGAAGAATTGGTTTTACTGGAAGATGCATTTCCTACAGACATCAGGCTGTAGGAATCAGCAGAAGATATAATGTAATGGGAAAATGTGCAGGAGAATGGGAAAATGTAGTGATGATCTTAGATTAGGAATGGAACATGAATTTCTACAGTATTGCTATCACCTCAGGAAGAAAGTTTCCCAAACTATCACCTCAGGAAGAAAGTTTCCCAAACTTGCTCACTTGTTGATAGATGTCTATACTAGGGTGTCTTAATTTTCTCACTGGCTGCTGAGACAAAATACCCAACCCTCCAAAGTTAAGGGAGGAAACGTTCTTTTAGCTCCAGTTGGTAAAGGTTTCAGTCCACTATCAGCTGTCTCCAAGGCAGAATTGCATCACAGAGGAGAAAGAGTTCATGGTGGGTAGAAGGTAACAAAGCAACAAGGTGTGACCACAGCTTTTTCTATCCCTTATTTTTTATCCAGGATACTTAGGGTGGGCAGCACTCTCACCCTTAATCCTGGTGCCCTTGATCCTAGAACTGTACACACTCTAGATCCAGCCACCTCTGACAAAGCCCCAACTATGAGTGCATGGGGCTTTGGGAGAACATTAAACATGAGGCATAACAGAAGGCCTAATTTTCTTAACTATACAAACTTTTCAAAATTACAACCCTCATAATAAGCATCAAGCTCTTTGTCTACCACGTCATATCATTTATTTTAACACCTGAATTCATTAGCAAAAATTCAACTTTCATTCTGATACTACAATTTCCATTCTCCCTTTAAGAAATATTTAATGCTATTAAGGAATATCAGAGAAATGTTAGGATATCCTCTTTAATATAAGTCTCTATTCTTACTCTTATGCTTTCCAAAGCTTTTAACTTGATTCAAAATTGAAAGTGGAATATATTTAACTGTGGGCTAAGATTTATTTGAATTGTCTATTATTTTCATCACTATTATTTTTGACACATTGACCTTCTAAAATATGCCACATTGAAAAGTGAAGGGCAGCTCATTAATTATTACTTGAAATGTTTTATCGTTGTGGACACAACACAATTTTCTGAGATAAACATTTTCAAAATAATGAAATATCCCACTAAACGTACTACATTACTATTGTTAAAAATTGTTAAAGATGAGTAAAATGCTCCATATAGAACTAAAATATAACTTCAGGATGTGTTAAGTATTAAGCTACTAGAAAATTGAGAACATGGAAGAGAAAAATTAAACAACCGATAAAAAAGTTGCAGTCACCATTTGATTATATGATACAACTTTTGATTGTTCTAAGTTAATTCTCACAGATTAAAAAATACATCAAGAAAAGAAGCTGTAGGAACTATTATGTGCATTTTCTCTAGTGAAAGTATTTTCATTAATATCAGAGTCAGGCAAAAATGAGTGGCCCTTCTATGAAGTCAAATAGATATGACACTACTTAGTCCTGTAACATCAAATATAGCATGCTACTTTCCACTTATTCTTTCCCTGACTTGTCTTTGTTATTATTCCAGTCACTAAAAAAGTCTTATATATATTAGAGAAGTTAATATTATCTTTTGAAATACTATTAAAAGAGGAAAACCAGAATTTCTGTCAATTTCTTCAACGGATATCTCAGACTGTCACTGTTTCTTTCTCTTTTCGGTTACAAATACTGGCTCACACTTCTTTGTAAGAACTTTTCTCTTTTGTCCACAGGAACCAAGAAAATCAGACTTCTGGAGTCACCTTCATCCTCCTGGGCTTCTCTGAGTATCTGGACTTCCAGATGCCCCTGTTCCTAGTGTTCCTGGCCATCTACAGTGTCACTGTGCTGGGGAACCTGGGCATGATCCTGACCATCAGGGTCAATCCCAGACTCCACACCCCCATGTACTTTTTCCTCAGCCACCTGTCCTTTGTTGATTTCTGTTACTCCAGCATAGTGACTTCCAAGCTATTAGAAAACCTAATGGTGGAAGACAGAACTATCTCCTTCACAGTATGCATCCTGCAGTTCTTCTTAGCCTGCATATTTGTGGTGACAAAAACATTCATGTTGGCAGTGATGGACTATGACTGATTTGTGGCAGTTTGCAACCCTCTCCTCTACACAGTGATGATGTCCCCAAAGCTGTGTTCTTTGCTGGTAGCTGCCTCATACCCTTGGGCTCTAATCTGTTCCTTAATATTCATATGCTTTCTGTTGACCTTATCATTTTGTGGGACAAAGTTCATAAATAACTTTGCATGTGCCCATGGTGCCATTGTAGCTGCTTCCTGCTCTGACCCCTACCTTAACCAGAGATTGTTTTAATCTTTGCCTATTTCAATGAAATAAGTAGCCTATTGATTGTTCTTCTTATATTTTCATTTTCATCACTGTCCTGAAAATGTCTTCAGCTGGGGCTCTCTGCCAAGCCTTCTCCACCTGTGCCTCCCACCTAACTGCCATCAATATCTTCCATGGGCCCCTTCTCTTTCTCTACTGTGTTCCAACTACCAAAATTCATGGCTCCTGATCAAGGTGGCCTCTGTCTTCTATACAGTAGTCATCCCCACACTTAACCCATTCATCTACAGTCTCCGGAATAAAGATGTGAAGGAGACTGTGAGGAATTTAATCCATACCAAATTGTTGTGTTATAAAACTTGATTCCAAGGATGCTATGAGTTTTCAGAGCAATGTTGCTGTTTTTCATTAACAAATCAGTGCATGAATGATGAAAACGTTAAAAATCCTTTCTTCCCAGTTTGGAGATGTTAGTACACAGTAACTCTTTACAGTCATCCCACTGTGGAATACCACACTACAAATTCTACTCACTTGGAAGTGCAACTTACTACCTACTGATCAGCATTTCCATATCCTTTCCTACATTCTCATATTCAGTAGTTAGCAACCACTGTTCCTCTCTGGATCACAGCCAGATAAAAATTTTAATGTTTCACACATGACTGAGACAATGTGGTACTCATCTTTCTGTGCCTGGTTTATTTCTTTAAACAGAATGACCTGCCTGTTATTGCACATGACAGAGTTCCATTCTTTATGGGTGAATAGAATTCCATTGAGTTTATACATGTTCTTCTAGCATTCATCATTTGAGTCATTTGATACACACTTTGGATTGTTTAAATTTTGTGGCTATAGTTTTCTTATTTTGTTTTTGTTTTGTTTTTTTCCAGTACCAGGGATGGAACCCAGGACCTTGTGCTTACAAGGCAGGCACAGTGCCACTGAGCTACATCCCCAGCCCTTCTTGGCTATTGTGAAGAGTGCTGCAATAAGTGTGGTGGCACATATGTCTCTTGGATATATAAATTTCATTTCCCTTGGCCATAGCCCCAGGAGTGAGATGGCTGGGTCATATAGTAACTATAATTGTCATGCATTGGGGCACCTCCATACTGTTTTCCATGATGAGTGTATGAATCCATATTATCCTCAAAAATGGTGAACACTTTTCTACTTCTTCATATTCTTGGAGCACTTGATATATATTTTTTATTATAGCCATTATTATATGAGGTGATATGTCTCTGTGGCTTTGATTTGCATTTCTCTGATGGTTAATAATTAGCATTTTTCATATATCTGCTCCCCATTTTAATGTTTCAAAGGACAGAGTTGCTCGCCCTGGCTTCTACCAGTTCAGATTTTACCAGAATGGTAAGGCAGGCATCCTGGGCATCTTGTGTTGGTCACTGACATTGAAAAACCCAGTTCTCTGCTTAGAGGCTCCATCATCTCTCCTTTTGGAAGAAAACATGGGGATAAGCTGCTTGATGTTGTGATGGCAAAGCTTCATCGTGTCACCTTGGTTGGGTTAGGAGCTGCCCAGGGCCTTGGGGGAGCACACTTCTTGTTGTGTCTGCCTGGGTCATGGAAGGCTGACTTTGGTGTTACATTTTTCCCTGGCCCTTTTCTCCTGGATACTGCTCCCAGTGTCTGCTTTCCAGCCACCATAATGTTCCTGCCTTGGAGCTAGCTAGCCAGCATGGACTAAATGCCAAAATCCGTGAGCTAACTTAAACTTCTTTTCCTTTAAATTGTGGGTTTCAATTATTGTGTCCCAGAGCTAACTAATACAAGATTAGACTCAAAGTGATTTTTGAATGTGACACACGAAGCTTGAATAACAAAAGCAAAAATAAATTGGTGAGCCTCGAGTTCTCGACCCCGGTGCGGTGCGATGGCGCCTCCGTGGCCGGCCAGGCCCGGTGCCTTCCCAGGCCCGGCCGGTGGCTCGGAGTCGGCGGCACCCGCACCGGGGCTTAGCCTCAGCAGCCGGACTGGAGGATGCTGCCCCCGGAGCGCTTGGTCACCGACAGCGTCATGAAGATCTGTGGGAGAGAAGACGACAGTTTCAGACCGAACCGGGGAGGGGACGGGGCACCGAGGGAAAGCGGGAAACCTAGACAGATGGAACACGCCCGTTTATCTCCGAGGACCGACTCTGTCTGTTGCCACACCAGCCCGCAGGTGGCGTCAGCTCCGAGGCAGCGGAACCGGGACACGGAGGGGCCGCGCTCCTCTCCTCTCAGGTGCCCCCGCCCGCCCAGCCCGCGCTAGTCCCTCCGTGCTCTCCGCTTACACCCCCGTGTGCACAGCTCCTGTGCACCATCGCACCGTCCTGTCACCAGGAGGCCCAGACGCCCGCGCCCCCTCCTGGACGACACGACCTAGGCAGGCGACCCCAGGAATCCTGCCCGGCTACTGCCCATCCTCTCCTCTCCCGGCTGTGCGCTGGCGATCAGATGTCGGCTCCGACTTATGTGGCTGCTTTCCTGCGGAGCTGGGTCTCACCTCTGGAGCAAACCAAGTGCAACCAACCAGCAGACAGCAGCCTCGCCTGGGACCCGAATCTACCGCGCCGCCGCGCAAAGGTGCAAGTGCTCCGGTCCCCAGAATTCAGCTGGGAACGGGGCCTTGAGGCCAGTGAAGAGTCAAGGCTGCCTCTCTGGTCTGAGCATCGTTTTCCAACCCCACTCTTCGGTACCAAGTGAAGAGGCAGATGAGACACCAGTCACCCTAAGGCGGACCAGATGCTCCTACCGGGCTGAAGGCCAAAGAGGTCATTTAGGAGACAGGATAAAGAAAAGACTTAAGGCTCTTCTCTGTAAGTCATTTTCATGTTCTTTTAACCACCTAACCCACGACGGCCGCATCTAGCTGGCACCATGAGGATGCACAGCAGGAGAACGCAATCTCGGGGACCGGGCTCACCCCGTGCCCTTAGGCGAGGCCACCGACCCACCTCTGCACACACGGGGTGGATCCCGATCGTGCTGTCCAGCTGCCTCTTGGTCAGCCCGCACTTGAGCGCGGCCGCGAAGCCCTGGGTGACTTCTCCAGCGTTGGGCCCCAGTATGTGGAAGCCCACCACCCGTTCCTGAGGGGAAGAGAAAGTAGTGTCAGCCGGCTGGTTTCCCCCCTTCTATTCCCAGGCAGCCCGATCACCACCCCAGGCTAATCTTGAACCGTCGGGGGGGAGGGGGGCAGCAGGTCAGTGGGACGCTCCTCCCCTCCCCCTCCTCAGAAGCTGCCTGGCCTGCGCATGCGCAGAGTTCTCCCACCGGGCGGCAGGGAGGGAGGCGCAAAAAGCAGAGCGTCTGTCCCTCCTTGACCAGCCGCACTTGCCCGAAAATGTTATCAGAGGGTGGAGGTGACCTCTGGCTGATTCTCTCACTGTCACAAAATCTACCTGTGGGGACTGTGACACTTCAGAGCAGCTGCTCATATTAAAAATCGCTTAACTAAGGCTTGGGAAGAAAGAGCCATTAGGTACTACGCGGACCCTTAAAATACTTTTGAAAGCAGAAGGAACAGGTCTGGCAACTCTGACATGTTCAGAAATTATTTTGGACAAACTCTAAATCTCAAACTCGGGCTCCAACTGCCAAGAGCAGACCACGCCGGTCCATGCTGCTCTCGGCACTCAGAGCTTTTCCAGAGCTGCTCCTGACTACACCAGACTGGCGACTGCCTGCTGTCGGCCCTCACAGCTACCTGGAGCAGGCTTGTCTACCGACATTGGCTTCCTACAAACAATCAGGAAGCCCACTCTGCTGCCAAGCACGGTCACGGCTTCCACAGTGGACAGCAGGGGGCTCTGGGTGTGGATAAGGGACAGCTGGAAGGTGAATGCCACAATGTTGGAAAAGCAAAACCTAAAACATGGTAAGGTGCAAGGTTCTATTTACTGAGGATGACATATTTTTGGTACCAGGGATCGAACTCAGGACCTTGTGTTGCACCACTGAGCTAAATCTCCAGCTCTGACATTCTTAAAACACAACACACCTGAAGTCTATATACATAAATACCTAGCAAACAGAAAAACCTGACAGGAGAGTCCTGTGACTGGGTGAGTGAGGATCAGGACTGCCCCGGGGGAGGGCACAGGCCCTGGCACGGACCTACGCCGCCTGGCATTGAATTCCGGCTCCACCACAACTCGGTAAGGGATCGGGACAGGTACCTGAAGTCCCTGTGCTCTGGCTTTCCCAGCTGTAGGATGGGGACAGCAGGGGCTCGCGCCCCACGGGGCCATGTGGGACGCAGGAAGTCAGCGCCTCAATGTGTTAGTGAGCTGACCTGAGTCCACGCAGATCTCTGAATGCCAAGTGCCCAGTAAGGCACAAGCTGTTGCAGCTGCATCCGCGTGGGTCACTGTCCACCAGGCACACCCTACTAGCAAATAGGGCAAAGCTGACAACGTTCACCGGGTCTGAATGAGGGGACTTTCCCTATCCTTGTTTTTCTTTCAAATATTTTAAGGAAAAATACAGAAGAAAAGCTAGCAGACAAAAAACTTAGTACTATTTAAAACCAAGGCACCCCAGACCCTGGGCACACAGAGGACAGCGGGAGTCCCAGGAGACGCTCCGTCCCAGACTGCTCCCCACCCAGAGCAAGTGAGACCCTGAGCTTTCAGTCAGACACGTTACCGGCAGACCCAGACCGGCTGCTGTTACCACTCTATAAGCAACCCACTCAACGCCAGCACAGTAGGGGAGAGGAGGACACAGCCACAGACCTAAGGCGCACTCGCGTGGCACGAAGGGGTCCCCCGAGCGCTCCAAGCAACCGAGCCTCTCTCCTGAGGCAGGAGCAGAGCCTGGTGTCTCCACCGGTGTCCCGCCGCGTCTCGGTACAGTGCACAGGTAACGGAGGCTCTGGGCAACCAGATTCTAGGAAAATTCCGGGCTAAAGGGAAACACTTCTTTCTGCAGTGGCATCATTCACAGCTTCTCCGAGCAGATTCAGTAAATGCCCTGGTGATATGTGTGTTTTTGCAGAGGATGCAGGGAGCTGTGTCCTAAAACACTCAGTTCCACAAAAACAATCTGCAGCTGTTCTTGTGTCTAGAGCAGACATGGACATGTGGCTCATTTATATTAAATTTCAAGATTTAAAAAAACAGGGAAGCCCATTCAGGACCCCTCCCTGTCTCCAGGAGCTATTCTTATTCTTATTCCCCTTTCCTATTCCCCAATAAACTTTCCTACTAAAAAAAGAATTATATTAGGCTTTCAACATAGGGATTCTTTAGCATTATTTATGTTTTTACCGAGAGCATTTTTAAAGGTAATATGCCAGTGAGTTAAACATTTCGGCTTTCTAAGATTCATTTAAATTCTGAGAGAGAGAGAGAGAGAGAGGAGAGAGACAGAGAGAGACAGAGAGAGAGAAGATGCACCCTGGACTATAATGTACACCGTCTTTCTTGCTGAGTGGCAGCACCAGTTTGCACACTGAGTATTCAACCCCTTGCACTGCTAAGGTGAAGCACTGCCCCACAGGCTCAGGTACCAGGCTACATGGGCAGCAGGCAGGAGCCCAATTAAGGGCTCGTCCCTCTGTGGCTCCCTCTCTCGTGCTAGCGGCTGAGTTTCAAACTGGCCCTGCTCCTGCACTTTCATGCTGCTCATTACTTCTAAGCAGTCAGAGATTGAGACACAGAAAGTTCCCGGGCACCTGCCCTCAGTGAGTGCTGACTGCGTGTGGGTGACATGTAGGGCCCGTGCCAGTCTAGAGGGCAGGGGCGGCAGCAGAGCCAGGCTGTGCCCTCTGCTTTGCCCACATGTTGGGGAGACTGGGAGGGGACACCCAGGTGAGCACCGCAGGCTGCCATGCGCGTTGTGTGACCAGGACAGAGCTCCAAGCCGAACGCTAACCCACATCACCAGGAAGACGGGGAGGGCCTCACTTACGTCATCTTGAAGATTGCACACTATCTTTGCGTAGCACTTGTTGTTGTCTCTTGACGGAACAGTCCATTCCAATGGCCAAAAGAAACTATAGACCTCGGGAGACACAGTGCAGGCTTGTTACTTCCAGAGTACGCAGTCGGCACCGGAGGGCTGCGGTGGAGGCCTGAGTAATTAGGGATCCGCAAACCGTACAAGTCATGGAATAAACAGGATCTGGCCAAAAGGCAAATGACTGACTCAGAACTCCTTCTTGTCAAGCACCTTTGCTAGACGCTCATCCCTTAATCGTATCTCAGCTTCAAGAGTCAATTCTAATAATGCCAAAGAGTAAAAGAATGAAAGAAAGCAGCCATGTAATTACTGCCTTGCCTTAAAAACAACACAAAGCAGCTCAATACCATCTTACTGCCTGACAGGAATGACAGCTTAGGCAAGAAACCAACAAGGTGCCAGGAACAATTACAGCGATTATCTAGGTCTCCTCCTCTGGGGTCATTCACCAGGGCGCTGCAGGAAGACGGGGCGGATGCCCTTACTGAGCAGCTCCATTCAATACACGATCAATGTCTTTGCAAAGCATGCCGCTGCTGATATGTCAGGGTTCTATGTAAAATTGTTTGGATTTGGGTTTTTTTGGTACCAGGGATTGAACTCAGGACCTCGCGCTTGCAGGACAGGCGGCGGAACCACTGAGCTAGATCCCTGGCCCTAAAACTGTTTTTTATAAATGTGCGTTACAAAATGTAATGTCTAGGGCCTGGGATTTGGCTCAGTGGTTCCGGCGCCTGCCTTGAAAGCGCAAGGACCTGAGTTCGATCCCCGGTACCAAAAAAAACAAAAAAAACCCAAATGTAATGTCTAGTATCATGGTATTGCAATGAATTACACAGGAGAGTAACAAAAAATTACTCCAACTGCTAACAATTGCTGAGTCACAGATTATATAATCAAAATGTTCTTCATTTTCCTGCAAAATTTTCAAAATTTTTTCAACTCACACTACTTTTGTGATGAGAAACTTAAAATTTAAATATCTTTGATAGGCAATTTATCTTCAAACTAATTAGAAAAACAGACACTGAATTACAAAGGTATTCACTAATCAATTTACAATTGCAGAAAACTATAAACTATCTAAGAAGGACTTAACAAATTATCCCTAAAAAGAACTACAACACTTTTTTTTTAAATGGTATTTTTAGAGAATTAAAGGACAAAGGAAAATGTTCATAACATGACATCAACATAGGGCAGAAAACTGCAAGTAACGTAATCACACTTTTAAAAACTTAAGTGTATGTACCTACCTGAAACTAAAACAAAACACAATATAAAAACACATACAGGTTGGGCATCCCTAAAAAGAAAATTAAAAATCTAAAATGCTCAAAACCTGAGGATTTCACAAAGTATGCTGATAGGAGGTCACCAGCAGAAAATCCCACACCTGACCCCTGTGACAGGTTGAAGTCCAAACACAGGTGCATTAAATATACTATGTTTTCTGAGCGTGGTGGCACATGCCAGTAATCCCAGCACTCAGTAGGCTGAGGCAGGAGGACTGCCATGAGTTCAAGCCGGCCTAAGGTACACCCAGGGAGTTCAAAGGCAGCCTGGGCTACAAAGCGAGACCCTGTCTCAAAAACCAATCAATCAATACTGTTAGATTATCTTCAGACTAGATGAGAAAGGGGTACGTAAGACAAATTTCATGTTTAGTCTTGGTCCAACAATATCTTGTTACACAGATGCAAATATTCCAAAAACAAAACAAATCTGAACCCCAAAACACTTCTGGTCTGAAGCATTTTGGACTAACAGATCCTCAACCTACATAAATCCTTAGAGAAAAAAGGCTAAAAGGAAATATGCAGAAACATAAATAGCAATTATCTCTTCATGTATTCAAATTTCCTTTTGAATGTTTTCCTAATTCCTCAAAATTTTTATAATGAAGATATATAATGAGATAAAGTCAATGTGCTCCTAGTAGAATAAAGTATGACATGCTAATAGAGCAGTGTATAATATAGGAAAAAAATTATTAAAAAAAATTGGTAAAGTGATTTGATCTGAAGAGTTTCTGATGGCAAAGGAAACAATAAAAAAAGGAAAGGCATCCTATGGAGAGGGAAGAAAATATTTCTGGATCTTAGATGTTAGGAGTTGTTAATAATTTGATTATTAATCGTTAATATCTGAACTTACACAACTTGAAGAAAAAAAATTTAAAAATGGATAAAATACCTGAATAGATGTTTTTTTTCCAAAGATGATAAGCACATAGTTACCAGTTATATAAAAATATGGTTAATGTCATTAATCATCAGGGAAATGCAAAGGAAAATTGTAGTGAAATATCATGTCACCAATGCCAGTATGGCCATTATAAAAGTGTCAAAGATAGGGCCGAGGATTTAGCTCAGTGGTGCCACCACTTGCTTCACAAGTGCAAGGTCCCGAGTTTGACAGTGGACAGAATGGATCTCTCAAAGAGAGAAGAGACAGTGGCCATGAACACTCAGGGCTGAGAGCCCTGAAGCCATCTGGAGACAGTGGCCAGAGTCAGTGCAGACAGCTGGTGGAGTTCTGTGTTGGAGACAGCAGTGTGTGTGAGCCTCAGTGCCCAGCAGTGGTGGCTGATGGTGATGACCACTGACAACCTGTGAGTGGCAGTAAATGGTAGCATTGATGGGGTTACCAGCATGGACTGAGGGCAACTGGCAGCATCAGTCAGCAGTGCAGACAACAGTTCAGGAACCGGAAATGTGGGGCCCAGAGCTCTACCACTGTGAGCTATGGGATACAGGTACCCAGAACACTAAAGTCCCAGGACTATTAGCAGTTAAAACTCGGGGTCCACAGCAGACCTGCACTTTGCTGATTCATACTTTCTACTCAAATTATGCAAAAG